ACAATTGAGTCAAAAAACCAGGTTTGTAAAATGAAATGGGATATTAATTAATTATGCTATAATTGTAGCCTGAACTGTATTAAAAAATTATTTCTAAAAGTAATATTCCAAAAGTAGATGACAAATATATCTAACTGCCAATTCATTGTATAAAATGGAATTTCACCTAGTATGTGTAAAAGTTTACAATAAGTTTATGATGTTTATTATGGGATTTTTNACAATTGAGTCAAAAAACCAGGTTTGTAAAATGAAATGGGATATTAATTAATTATGCTATAATTGTAGCCTGAACTGTATTAAAAAATTATTTCTAAAAGTAATATTCCAAAAGTAGATGACAAATATATCTAACTGCCAATTCATTGTATAAAATGGAATTTCACCTAGTATGTGTAAAAGTTTACAATAAGTTTATGATGTTTATTATGGGATTTTTAATTTTTAGATATTGATATTGTTCAATTACTTATCTAATTAAGTTGTAAATATTTCAGATTGAAACTTCTTAAATTATTAGAAATAGTTGAGGATAGTGCTATATCAACAGTTGCTTACGATGCTCATACTTTGAACTTTTTTAAGAATTGTATGTGTACAATACAAGCTAATACAATGCCATGGATAGCACCAAATGCGTGCACAGATAATATTGAAGCTTTGACAGAAGCTGAAAACAAACAGTTATCAGATGACCAAAGATTAGAAGAGGAAACAATTAATTATTGTATGATTTTGTTACGGAGGCTATATAAAGTTGCTGCAGTAACATCAGACACAAAAGTTCAAAGGGTATATGATTAATATTTGAAATAAAAAAATATATATTTCAATACATCTTATTTGATTTGTGAAGTTGAAAATCAAAATAATATGAGAAGACTTTTACTTTTTTAGTTTCATGCATTATTGTTAGACAAAATAATGCTATTAGCTTATATGGGTCATAGAAGGCAACGAGGTCATGCTTTAAAACTTTTGGAACAATCTCTTGCTACAGATATAACATCATATGTTCGTACTAAATTACCAGAAGTATGGACTCAGTATAAATCAGCATTGCAATCTATATATTGCAAACGCATGTTACTTTTAGTATCTGCGTGTGAACTAGATTGGGCTACACAGTGGAATGTTAGTATTCAATTTCTTGGTGTGGACCTTCATCGTGGTGCTGGTTTAATAAATAATTTACTGAGTGTCGAAGAAAAAGCATTTAAGTCTACAGATACAATTCTACGCAGGTATACATAATAATTCTGAAAAAAGTAGTATTCTTTTGCAGAAATTAATGTTATAATATCATATGTTTTAGACAAGCATTTCTGTCATGGAAATTACTGGTGGATAATTTTGCATTAGATCCACATGAACTAGCTACTGCTAGACGAATAAAGTTGTTGTGTGTTCCACTAAATGCTAAAAATAGTAAAAGTGAATTGATAGCATTAACAAAATTAGAAGTTTGGTGGCATGTGATTATCAAACTTTATAAGGATATTTCCGATTTTGTCAATCCAGTAATCACACAATTCTTGAACTTTTGTTTTGGACCTCTTGGAGATACACCATTAATATCTTCAAAATTTGAAATAGTGGCATCACCAGGGAAAAGATTTTATAAGACTAAAATTATTGCTGTAGATGCTTTATGCCAACTTCTGGTCTCAAGACAAGAAAATAATGCAGTATTTTCACCAGTTCTGGAAGAGAGACTGCCTCATGCTCTACCTGGTTCTCTTTTTCAAGAGTGTTATAAGTGTTTTATTCATAGTATAGGAGAAGCTTGGCTTGTTCTTAGTCAACTTACGGATGCGGAAATGAAAAATAGACACCAAATTGGTAAAATATTGTGGTCAAGTTTAGTTAATTACATACAGGAATCAAGAACAGAAGTAAAGGTTGGTTGATATTTACAAGTAATATCATTTAATATTGTATTTTTTAATCGAAAAATTCGGTTACACATATTGAAATAAAACACTTATTAGTAAAAAATATCGTGTTACAGGAAATAATATATAAAGACTTAATACTAGTTATCACAGAATTGACGAATTGTGCTACAGATAAGCCAATGATCAAAAATCTAATCTTTGATACAATCTTACCTGAAATTGTTGATCTTAATAAGAATTTTGATTTTGAAGATGATTTATTATTAGCACTGATATTAAAGCTTGTTCAAATTCCACTACTAAATGATGCTAAGAAGTAAGTATTTGAATTACAAATATAATACAAATTATACATATAGTACTTTAAACAAAAATTTGAATGATTTATAATATAATGTGTTCAATTTTATTTCCAAACTTGTGTTCTGAAAAAATTATTTTTTGAGTTTTCCATATTTACAAAATTTATGTAATTTACACGTCATCTTTGCTTAGGCTACGTTACTTACGACAATATACGTGTATCACCATCAGATTCATGTTCATGTATGTTGTGGTATGTTCTTCTATTTGAGTTATTTGTATTTCACTGGATTCACTGAAAGCTTTATTACAATAAAATGGGCGTTAATTTCAATATATAGAGAAAAGAAATTTATATATATATATATTGGTCAATTGCAATACAATTTGGCTTTCTGTTTATATCACTATTATGAATACTTATATTTATGGAGTAGTGCACTTCTAATAATGATAATCTGAAAATGTACTGAGAGAATTAACAAAAAGCATCAGCCAAGTGACTATTACCGATTTTGGTGAAAATTTGCACATTTTTGTTTAGTAAGTATAGTTGCATCTGCAGTATTCAAGTTCAGACGCTAATATTCGTATCTACATCTCGATTTAACAGAATATTTTACATAGTAATTGAAAAAAGTATTTACCAAGTTGAAGGTTACAAGTCCTTATATCTTCCTTACAATAGGGGGTAGAGATTAAAAATTGATTAAAGCATTGTTTTGGACTGGGAGACATACCATAAATGAAAATATTCTCGTCTAGGTGCCCATTCTTATCTGGCTAAACCGTTCTCAAAATAGAATTTTAAAAATTAATTGGATATATTGTGGTCAATCGAAATAGGCTCTGTGATAATTGTGCTAATCAGATTAGCAAGTGGTCTACTTGCTAAGTGGGATATATTTTTTTATCACATATTATGCAAGATTTCATAGTTGGGTGAACGATTTCTTAT